ACCTGGCCGTGCCGGGGGCTCGCCCCGGGGGCTGCCTTCGTAAAAGAAAGGGCAGCATGGTGAAGAGCGAGCGGCACCGGCCTGTTCACGCTCCGGCAGTGGTTCACAAACATCAAATCTTTCCCCTTCCCAAGGGCAGGGGGAAAAAGCGTGCATATTATTTTAATCCCTCACCAGTAACACCTCTGCAGAAATGTTATTAGTCATTTATCAGACATAGGCTCTGTCAGCTGATAACGAAATGGGAGAGGAGAGTATGCCCCAGCCAACAATATAAACCTTCTCGAGTAAGAGAGTCATCCCCAAAGCAAATCCCCAGTCTGGGCCCAACCGAGGAACCTGCTTTTAATAAAGGCTCGTCAATCTTGGGTTCCCCCCTTCCAAACACACGCATTAGCGGGACCCAGCAAGGCTTTACCCACTGTTGTAATAACACAGGATTAAGGATCGGAATTGCCGCACAATGATACGGTGTGACAAAAAGGTTTTACCTGCACATATTTTGGGAGGGCATTTCAGATGACTGATACAGCAGAAATTGCACTGCTCGTACCAAATAAGTAACGCTGAAAACGTTACTTCCACGTCTTCTTGCTTCTTTTGTTATGTGCCTGCTCGTACCAAATAAGTAACGCTGAAAATGTTACTTCCACGTCTTCTTGCTTCTTCTCTGTCTATCAGAGAGGACTGAGTCAAAGACCGTTTCAATTCTTGCTCCTGCGCTGCCTCTGTATGCCACGCACCTTCCCCAAAACGCGCACACACACACACTCACTTACACACACACTGAGGAAAGCAGAAACATCCTGGCTACTTTGAAAAATTAATCCTAATTCGGGGGAAAGATTAATCTTGGAGGGGGTCAGGTTCTCCTCCCCTCTGCACCTGGCATAGTCATTAACAAGTATGTAGCTTTGTAAATGGGTACAAAATACTACCACCAGTGACTGGAAAATTTTGAGTTATTTGCATTTATCACGTACTTTGCACTTTGCAGAGGGAGAGCGCTAACCAGGTGCAGGGCAGTGGAGAATTGGGCATTTATATTTATAAAATATAAATATATTTTAGTCGCAGTTACTTAGTAGTAACGTAACACCAAATGCACCTTCTAAAAATGAATGGCAATCAGTACTCGTTTAGACACATCGACTTACACACACTGTATTTCAGAGAAATACAAACAACACAGCTTCACATCCTTTCCCCCAAGGAAGAAAATTTTGCAATATTATTTGTTTTCTGGTTCAGCGAGGGCCAAGGGCTGGTCAGCGCTGTGTAGCTAACAGATGGCTGATCTTCCAGCAAAGGAAAGGTAAGATCTGGCAGACAGGTGAGGCAATGCATGGAAACAAAAAGTTTAGCATGCGGTGCTATCTTTGCCCGAGGTTTAAAGTGAGTCTCAGGTGTCCGCTGATCATCCACAGAAAAAGTGGCTTTGTGTGAAGTTCCTTCTTGTTACAGCAGCAGAGAAAGCCCCTGAGAGACCAAGCGACAGCCACTTTCTGCTGCCTGTAATCATTTGAGGAAGTGAAAGATGGTGACTCACGGCTCAGAGAGGAGCAAGAGCACAGCTGTGACACTAATGCATGGCCCCGGATTAGAAGGTGGATAGTCACAAGAACGTGTTACTTTGCACAGACAGTTAAATTACAACACTTGTAAAAATGGATCAAGTGTGTTTTACTAGGCACTGCTATTTCTGCATTTAGTACATACAGCGTCCAACTTGGCATTCAGGCTCAGCATGGGGTCTTAAAACTCTGCAAAGATTTTCTCCATTCACTCTCTTTAAAGCCACAGTCCTCATCCCCACGTCTGCTTTTTGTCAAGGTTTTTTCTCTTTTGCTGTCATACCACGGTGCTTGGCTTGGCACGATCCAGTGTGGCAGGAGCACTGCCCCCTCACCCCCAGCTGGTCCCTGCCTTACCAGAACGCACTAGCACAAGGCTCACTCGGACGCCGAGGTATTTCACCGGTTGTCCTACGTGGAAATAAATGGGTGGGTGTATTACTGCTTGTGAACAAGCACAGACTGACTAAGGTTCATGGACTTTCTTATTCAAGAAATCAACATAAACAGTTTTTTGTCCAAGCCTTACAGCATTTCTGGTGCGCTGCCATAAGAGAGGAAGAACAGTAGCTGGGCCAAACAACATTGGTTTAGGGTCTGGATTTTGCAGTAGAACTGAACAAGGGCAAAGTGCTATACAAGTTCCTGTTCTCCTAATATGCAACGTGGTTACTTGTGCACATGGAGAAGTTGTATCTGTAGGTTTTTTCCCTCAGCTAGAGTCGCATTCTGTGTTAGTGTGACTGTCAGCTAATGGTGATTTTGGCGATGAACTTGGCAAAATGCTGACTTTCCCGTTGCTGATGCCTAGTTTATTAAACATCTATGATTTTAGATTAAAACTGTTGATTTTTTCAAAGTATCTATGCCATGGGCGTTAATGAGCACTCATGTAAAAAACACTCCTAGCTAATAATTTCAGCTGAGATTAATATGCTTACTGCATCTCCACATATGATTAAAAACAACCCCCACCTTTTACAATGCCTTTTTTGGTTTTCCAGTTGTAGGAGTCTGCATGCTAAAACTGAAATCCTGATCTAGTTGCTCTTCTAACTTGCATGAGTATAAATCAGAAGCAGCTCTCTGGTATACATGAACTCACAGCCAGAACATTTAATTTTTAGGAGGATAGATTAACAAAGGCACAAGCAGAACCCAGGAAAAAGAAAGGGACCATGAAGTAGAAAAGTGATGGAGCCAGGCACACACAGGATACTGTGTCCCCAAATAGTTCAGCGTCAAATAACAAAAATAGCTATAACTTCATTGCTTTAAGAGCTCAATTAACCATAGAGTTACACAGTAGCAAGGAAACACATCTAAGAATAAAAGATTATATCAAGTCAATGTGCCTACTACTCCGACTAAGACCTTTCTTTGGTTCGTGCCTGAACCTGTTTGTTTCTCTGTGACCTGAAATTTAATCTTTTGTGAATTCAATACCCTAAATGTAATCCTCTGTGAAATTAATAATATATAATCAACCCTCCATTATCAGGGGAAACGGGGGATTGAAAAAACTGAAAGATGGAAAACCTAGATAATACAAGTACTTCTGCGCCAGGGTTAGCCTGTTCATAAGCATTGTGCCCGAGCGTAAATGTCCTGCTCAGTTAAGCTGCAAAGTGCAGAACCAGTTTAAGTACCACTGCATGTGTAACATGGCTTATTCCCAGACTGGGTAAGGCACCCAGAAATAATGGAGAATAAACATTTTTTTACTGTCATTACAGTGCACAAGAATTTTAATTCATGTTTATAAAGTGTGATGTAGATAGTCTTGTGATGGTTCTGCAAGCAGCAATAAAATAGTTATTAAAATACAAAAATGACTTCATGAAGAATAAGATGTCAGGTCTTAAATAGGATTGAAGTAATGTAAGTATCCAGTTGCAGGAATAAAAAACTTCATCTAGGAAGAATGGCAACATCGTACTCCTTAACACACTTTGGAGGGAGGCAGGAAAGCACTCTCTTACTCGACTTCTGAAACTAATGAAGGAAAATACCTACAAATTCCATAAAAAAGGATGAAAAACACTTCAGGCCTGGCAGATTATGATTATTAACACATTAGCTTTTCCCAGGTTACACCGAACCCTGTTTCTGGAGTTTGCTGTGCATGTTTGCTTGTTGTTCTCCCCCATCGTTGTTTGGATAGAGAAGCTGAAGACTGAAGCAGAAATTTCCAGTGCTTGGGTATACGAAATCTGCCTTCTGGGTAAGTCTCTATTTGCTTCTATGAGCTTTTGCTATCAGCTTCTCCTGAAAAATACCTCAGTCAGCACCGCTTTCCACTGGTTCCTTTTTGGTGATTTTCTTTTCACTGGATGTGAATGGAAACAGGTGGCCACAACTAGTCGGTGCTTTTGCAGTTACTCTTGCTTTGCTTTTTCCTGCACCTGCGTGGGCTCTGCTGCCCATGACTGCATGTCAGTGGAATGGTGATGTTCAGAAATACTCAGGGTACATTTACGAAGGACCAGGTAAAATTTAGCTTAGGACTGCAGGCTGCTTTATAAGCAAACAAAAAAATTTGTCTGATATTTGAAAGTACCAGAAAGTTTCCTAATGGTTTGAAAGGCAAATACAATGGAGATCTAGTGCTTTAAAAGTATTTGGCTACAGAGCTGATGTTTTTATAGGGGAACAGCATCACCTGGAGAATTTGACTAAACCCATTAGGTGGGAAGCATAATAATCGCCCCATGAACAATCAGAAAATGAAGCTTCATGAATGACACACCAAGAAAGCCAGGCCTGTTCCAGATCTGCGAAAGGAGACGGACAAAACTCGGGAGCTGGACTGACCACTGCAGTGATGATCAAGTGCCTTCAAGATTCAAGCAGATCAAGATGTGAAAGGATAACCTTTGGAGACAAGCTAGCAGACGCTCAACCATGGATAGCTGGGACTTTCAAATATGCCAGGGCAGCCAGCTAATGAAAGGCACATACTGCAGAATTCTGGTCCTGATGCAGAACAATGTGGAATAAATTAATGTTGCCCTTTTGCATTTACTGTGAAAAGCTGTACACCCCCTCAGCACCTCAAGCTGGTGACAGTGTAATCCTCAATTCACATATTGTAAATTTAGAAAAGATTGGAATGTGCAACTGATCATACCTAGGATGTTTACACATGCTGTTTGATCCCAAAATACTGGCTTATGTCATTAATGGCTTGTGTCATGCTCCTTTCTAGCTTCAGAAATGGCAAATGTTTACCATTTTAACTACATTAGCTAACTGCTTAAAGAAAAGCAAAAAGGAAGCAAAGAAAGCATAATGGGAACAGTAAAAAATGAATGTTAAATTACCCTGAGGAACAACTGTGCTTTTAAAAAAAATCTTTGATGTTACTTTCAGCTTTTGAGATAACCAAAACATGCATGTTAATAACCCAACTTATCTTTCCATGCCTTCACTATTACACACTTCAATTCATATCATGGCGTAACTGGTCTGTTTCCAGTCATCCTCACTTCTGGTTCTCATCCTTCATGACCCCAGAAACACAAGAGAATTTACAGTAATTGCTTATTTATTTGTTTATTCCACCCCTTTCTAATGCATCTGTGCGTATATTGGGAACTTTTTCCTCTCATCCGCAAAGTTGTGGATAATAACTAGTAACCCTTTACTATTAGTGAATATAGCCATAACTAATATATTTAGTACAGATTTTACTTCAGTAATTTTTAATTTTTAAGCATATTAGATTAGAAATAATATCTAGCCCCTAAAAAGCTTAATTTTTCAAGCCTTTAAATACTAATTCTTCTTTATGTGCATGAAATTCTATGGATATATGTATAGCTGGAGGCAAAGTCTAAACCTTAATGGTTTCTCTCCCCATGGAAAAACACTGCTTTTTTTCAAAACTGCCGAGTACCATTTGATAGCGATGAATACTACTGGCGCTCAAGGACAAACTGAACATAATTTAGATGCAAAGTAGGGAGGTTTTGAATTTTATATGAAGACAACTGATTTCTAAAAGTATGCCTAAGTAGTTCAGTATGAAACACTGCACATCTTATGCGCCTATAACTGATATTTGGCTATGGTGATTTTATCATCTTGTAGAGTTGGGACCTTATTAACCAAGCAAATTATTAATTTCATCGTAAAAGTCCCGCATGAATTTTGCTGCGAGTCGTTTTAGTATCAAACCAAACCCCTCTTCACTTAGAGACGCACTTGATTATTGATAGTTCTTGTACACTGCTACTGATGCTGAACACCAGTAGGGACAAAGCTGAGCATTTAAAGCATTTGGGTTTCAAAACAAGAAAGAAGAGTGGGTAGCTATCAAGAAAACCTTGCATTTCCTTAAGAAGTACAGTCCATGGGGGTTTTGTGCTTGGCATGCTCTCTCCAACACAAAATCAGATTTATTTTTTTATTATTTTTTGATGACAATTTTCTCAGATCCACATATTGGAAACATCTGGCAACCGATGGAGTTATCATACCTAAGTTCTGCTTTGGTGTCCTGAGAGCCCAGTGTGTGATGGGCAACGGGAGAAGATAAATATCACTGAAAGTAGCCAGGGATGAGAGACCTATCCCTGTCAGGAAGTCTGGTCTGGACTAAAATGACTCACACACACTGATCTGGTCTATGGCAAACAGATCTATTCCTGGGACCTCTCACTTGCAGAAGATGTTCTGCAGGACTGAGTTTTTGACAGGCCACTTGTCCAAGGCCCATCTGCTGGCGTGACCCGCCCAGGTGCTCTGACTCCGGGAAGGTGCAAAGCTGGTGCAGTGCAAACACCAGAGCTGCACTGCCTCCCAACGGGCTCAGGGAGAGCTCCTTCCCCCTTGTCTGCTGACAAATTGCACAGCTGTGGTGTTACATGTCAGCACTTGCACTGCGGATCTCCAGAGACAAACCAGGAATGTTCTGCATGCCAGACAGTGGCGCTGAGCCATTACATTGAGACAACCTTCTTGAGGGAACTGTGGGCCCTGAGTGAACAAGAGTGGGGAATCCACTGACGTTCTGACCTGCAGCTGTGTAACAAGAGGCAGCCTACTGCAGCGAGGCCAGCTCTACAGCTGAAAGAGAAGATTGTCTTGCAAAAGTGTGCTAAATCCATGCACCATTTGCTGCACAGGTACTACACTGATTTGAAACAAGTCGCATGGCATTTAGATAAGGTAGGTGAGACTATATGCCCCTGAAGTCTGAGGTATGCTTTCATCAACATTTGTGGTGAGCGTGAAATTATTTGATGAAGTTCATCACCATCTGGAATGCTTCCAGTGGAAAACATGGTCTTGCTGACCTGGAATTTGACTCAGATCCTGCGACCTATATATTCAGAGTAAGAGTCAGACAAATTCACATTGACATTTAATGCAGAGAAGCAAAGGACTCTCGAGTTACCTGAAATGATCTGCTCACCTGTTGAGGTCATCTTCTAAAATTAGCCTTTCAGTTCAGGACCTACAGTTCTTGCTTGTTTCACTGAACTACCACAGCTGCTAACCTTTGTCCAGGTCCTTCCCCTTTAGAAAAGCTAAAGGGGCTTTTAAAGTCATAGTCCTACTGGGAATCTGAAGAATCTCCATTGGATTGCAGAAATAGATTTTGTAAATAATTATCACAAGGACTGAAAAATGACAAAGCAGTCTTGAGAGATAGACAATTATGGAGGGAAAAAAAACCCCATTATTGTAACCATGGAGGAAAAGGTAACCATTATTATCTGTGATGAAAGATTAGTTTATTGAAACATATGACATCTAGGATAGGGAAATAAGAATAAAAAAAAACCCCTTTAACTCTGGACAGCTTCTCCTTTGTTATTTCCCACTTTAGTAGCAAGTTTACCTCTTTATTTATCAGCATCTTGTGAGAAAGGGCATAGAAAAGGAATAGCAAGGACAAATATTGGGATAAAAAGAAACATGACTTGAAGAGCAATAACTCATGGCCACAGGTAACACAGCAAAAGCTTCACTGTCTCAGAAAATATTCTTAAAAGAAAACTAGTGACACACTGTAGATGAGGCTACCAGATGGATGCACAGCTTCTTAGAAAACTTCACTCAGCTGGTAGGAGTAGTTTGCTGTCAAACTAGAAAGGTATATCATTTGGGAATCTGTAAGGGTTAAGTCCTTTTCCTATGTTGCTATTTGGCAGTCTGGGTAACAGAACAGGTCACACATTTGAAATCTGCATGTGGGGTAAGGTGCTGTAGGCAAACTAGAGCAGAGAGAGTTTTCAGAATGATTTGGAGAGATCAGAGAAACGGTCTGAAAGACACAGGATTCAACTGAGCAAGGACAGGTGCTAAGTCCTGTACTTAGGAAGGGAAAATATTGTCTGGGAAAGTACAGGATGGGGAATGACTAGACGGATAACAGTTGTTCTGCACAGGACTTGGGGAGTATTACAGAGGATCAGAGCTGAACATGAGTCAACAATATCATGCTGTCGCAAAGAAGGCATATCCATCAACCTGAGCTGTACAAATAGGAGTTTTGTCTGACGTAATTCCCTTATTTTTCTTGGCGGTGATAAGGCCTAAGTAAGAACACTACATCCAGTCTGGCAGTTGTACTTTAAGTAGGAAGTGGATTGAGCAATTCAGAAGAAAGGACAGGACTAATCAAGGACTACAAAAGGAGAGCCACAAAAAAAGGATGATCGAAAGGGTATTGTTCAGTCTAGAAAGGAGAAGACCGAAGGCAGAAAATAACCTTTAAAGAAGAACGGAATAAATTGTTTTTGATACCCAGGGTGGAGAAGATGGAGGAAAGACTTAAATTACAGCAACAGAAGTTCAGATTAAACCTCCTAATGGCAAATGAGAGAGTATGCCAAATTTTGAAACCTCTGACACTAGCAGTTTTAAAAGTAGTTTGCACAAAACATTTGTCAGGAATGATTTAAACACGATCCACCTTTGGGGCAGGAGGAGGGATTAGATCACTCCTAGGTGTCCTATTTTGCATGATTACAGGAGCGAGCAGACTCTGAGGTGGCAATGAAATATGCAAAATCCCTTGGAAAGCAAGAAGAGCAAATGTTGATATAACCTGTGTAGTTTGCAGGCTCCAGCAATTCTTTAACAGTCCTTACAAGTCCACGGTTCAGGAGATTTTAAGATGGCCAACATTATGTTCATAAATGGCAAGACCACGCATCTAGAGAGGGTCTTGAAGGTGATGAATAGATACAGTCAAAATAGGGAAGAAGAAAAGGCTGTTTTGTTAGGGGGAGAGACAGAAGCAGAGATCACACAAACATTTTAAATATTTGTATTTGTACCTAGTGAGAAGGTAAGTCATGGAGTGTCTCTAAGAAATGCATCCCTCTCCCAGACACAGAAGCCATTGCAGGCACAGGCCCTTAACAGACAGCAAGATTTCACACATGGAATACGTCTTAAATTCAGCTCCATCCAGGAGGCCCTGAACCAGAGCCTGAGGAAAGCTTAACTGACGCTTGTTTAAGTTCAAATTATTAAATGTTTTAGCTAATAGGCAGTGTCTGTTTAAGCAAGAGACCTGAAGAAGCCATGTCTCCACATAGAAAATATAAAATAAATACTGTCATGTCAGGATACTCTGCACTTAAAAAGAATCCTGGCTGAACAGAGTCAGTGTCGTGGTTTAACCCCAGCCGGAAACTAAGCACCACACAGCCTCTCGCTTACTCCCCCATGGTGGGACGGGGGAGAGAATCGGAAGGGTAAAATGTGGGAAAACTTGTGGGTTGTAGATAAAGACAGTTTAACAGGTAAAGCAAAAGCCGCACACACAAGCAAAGCAAAACAAGGAATTCATTCACTACGTCCCATCGCCATCACTCCGAACGTCCCCCCCTTCCTTCTTCTTCCCCCAGCTTTATATGCTGAGCATGACGTCATATGGTGTGGAATATCCCTTTGGTCAGTTGGGGTCAGCTGTCCCAGCCGTGTCCCCTCCCAACTTCTTGTGCACCCCCAGCCTGCTCGCTGGTGGGGTGGGGTGAGAAGCAGACAAGGCCTTGACTCTGTGTCAGCACTGCTCAGCAGGAACTAAAACATCCCTGTATTATCAACACTGTTTCCAGCACAAATCCAACAGATAGCCTTATACTAGCCTCTGTGAAGAACATTAACTCTATCCCAGCCAAAACCAGCAGAGTCAGATGCTTTAATCCACTCATAAACCCAGCCCCTTTTCCCTCCACTGTTAAAAAAAGATGTGTGATGAGAATGTGGCTAGTAATCCCGGAGTGAAAGAAGTGGCATAAAACCCACCCATCAGTCACAGTCCACAAAGCTTTTACTTGGATTGCCCTTGGCTGTGATAACACACCATTGGTAATCTTCCAAACATTACACACATACAATCTGGAATGCAAGAACTACCATACAGTCCATAAACAGAGTGAAGCAAAGCCATTGGATTAGTTCAGTCTCAGGATTCAAGGGGAAAAAA